GCGGCCCGCGCCTGAGGCGTCGTCGACGCCCGTCGGGTCGTCGGGCGCGACGATCTCGGCGTACTCGGCGCGGAGCTGGAGCAGCGCAAAGTGGAGGAGGTGCTGAGTCTCCTCGACGCACGGCGCGACGTCCGCGTCGAGCGGCGGGCTCCGGCTCCGGCTCCGCGCCGGCGGCGGGCTCCGGCTCCGGCTCCGCGCCGGCGGCGGGCTCTGGCTCCGGCTCCGCGCCGGCGGCGGGCTCTGGCTCCGGCTCCGGCTCCGGCTCCGCGCCGGCGGCGGGCTCTGGCTCCGGCTCTGGCTCCGGCTCCGGCCCCGCGCCGGCGGCTCGGCTGGCTCGTCGGCGGCGGCGGTCGGCTCGTCGGCGGCCGGCTCGGCGGCGGCCGGCTCGGCGGCGGCGGCGGCCGGCTCGGCGGCGGCGGCCGGCTCGGCGGCGGCGGCCGGCTCGGCGGCGGCTCGCTCCGGCTCCGGCTCCGGCTCCGGCTCGTCGGCGGCGGGCGGCTCGTCGGCGGCGGCGGCGGCGGGCGGCTCGTCGGCGGCGGGCGGCTCGTCGGCGGCGGCGGCGGCGGCCGCCGCCTTGGTGGCGGCCGCGGCGGCCATGGTCCGACTGCGAATAACCTCCAGGGCGTTGGTCGGGATTTTGGTCTCGGTCGGGATTTTGGTCTCGGTCAGAACAGTGCAGGGGCCGGTGAACGCGGGCACGATGGGTCCTCCCGAAATCTTGACGCAGAATGCGCGGTTGTCTCTCTTCTTCGATAGGAGGTTGTAGCGGTAGCGTATTTTCACCACCCCCCCCGCGGGCACGACGCACTGCTTGCGGCCGTCGCCGAGGATTTTGAGGGTCGTCGCGTCCTGGGCGCTCACCTCCGAGCCGTCGTCGGCGTAGCACAGGTCCATGCGGATCGGCGTAGCACAGTATACCCCGGTCAATCTGACAGAAATGATGAAAAAAATTTCTTTCACCGGTGCGGCTCTCATGTGGAAGGTCGAGGTCGCTCCGTCGGCGTAGCCGCGGGCTGCGTTGTACTCTTGTTGTGCAGGCGATCCACGGTGTTCGATGATCTCCACGCGCGGCTGGACCCGCGGCGTGGGGGGCGCGGCGAAGCCGAACAACAGCGGCTGCATGCCACCGCGGAGAGGGAGGCCCATGTGGAGCATCGACCCATTCTGGACGTTGTAGTCCGACAGCTTGCGGCCGTCCTGGAGCCACTTGCCCGAGAAGCTAAGGCGCTGCTGGTCCGGCGGGGTGCCCGTCTTGTCCTGGATCTTCCGCTTCACGCTCGCGATCGTGTCCCAGGGCTCGACCTCGAGCGTGATCAACTTGCCCGTGAGGGTCCTGACGTCGACGGAGAAGACGGAGACGAGCTTCGGCACGACGATTGCCAGTAAGCATGCCAGGAAGCACGCCACGGGCGCAAGGAAGAGGGAGCAAGAAAGGTCGACCTTGGGCGCCGCCGAGGCCGAGCCCTCGATGATCGCCTCGTTGATCGCCTCGTTGATCGCCTCGTTGATCGCGTCATCGTCCTCCTTCGCGTCGTCGTCCTCCTTCGCCTTGGCGGCCGCCTCGGCGGCCGCCTTCGCCGCCTTCGCCTTGGCCTTCTCGAGCCGGGCGCGCGCCTTCGTGAGGCCGGCCGGGGGCGCCCCCCTGGCCGCCTTCTCGGCTTTGCGCGCCGCCGCGCGCGGCGCCGCGCGCGCGCAGCGCAGCTCCTCCGTCAGCTCCGTGGCCTTGTTGGGCTTGCCGGCCTTGGCCTTCGCGGGCTTCTTCGCGGGCTTCTTCGTGGGCTTCTTCGCGCGCTTCGCGGGCTTCTTCTTCTCGCCCTCCTCGCAGTCGACGTCCTCATCCTCGTCCGTGTCGTCGTCGCCGAGGACCGCGAAGCGGCCGTAGCCGACGGCGTGCGCGGCGGCGCCGCCGGCGTCGTTCTTGGGGTGGCCCAGCCGCCGCCGCGCGACGCGGCCGCGGACGCGCGTCCCAAGGGCCACGCGACGCCGGAGCACGACCCGCCACTCGGATTCGAGCACCGCGGGCGCCTCGAAGTGGAGGGGCGTGAACTCGACGCTCCCGCAGAACTCGTCTTCTTCGAGGATCGCGGGGAGCAAGGTGAGGTCGCGGGGCGCGGACCGGACCCGACGGGTGCGCTGCATGACCGCCGAGAGCTTCTTGACGGAGCCGCGGTGCGCGACGGTCTTGCTCGAGGACGAGAAGACATTGGCGAAGCCCTTCTCCTTGACGACCTTCGTCGCGGTCTTGGCGTCGTCCTTGGACGCCGCGGCGAGGTCCTTCTTGAGCGTGCGGTTCTCGTCCTGCATCTTCGCGAGGACCGCCTCGCGCTCGCGCTCCGCGCGCTCGCGCTCCGCGCGCTCGCGCTTCTCACTCTTGACGCAGTCGCCGACAGGCGTGTACGTGGCCTCGACGCGCGCGGCATTGAGCGCGGCCTCGCTCTCGGCCTTGGCCTCGCTCTCGGCCTCGGCCTTGGCCTTGCTCTCGGCCTTGGCCTTGCTCTCGGCCTTGACGCGCGCGGCCTCGACGCGCGCGGCCTCGCAGAGCTCGGCCTCGACGCACGCGGCCTCGCAGAGCTCGGCCTTGCGCGCGGCCCTGCCCGCGTTCTTGGCCTTGCGCTTGGCCTTGCTGCGCTCGGCCTTGGAATTGCGCGCGGCCTCCTTGCGCTCGGCCTCCTTGCGCTCGGCCTCGCGGCGGTCGGCCTTGAGCGCGGCCTTGTGCGCGGCCTCGCTCTCGGCCTTGCGCTTGCGCGCGGCATCGCGGAACTCGGCCTCGCAGCGCTCGGCCTCGACGGGCTTGTTGCACCAGAGGAAGGCCTGGAAGGTTCGGGCGTCGGATTCCGCCTGGTGCTCGTGGAAGGGCCCCGCGCAGACCCGGTCGCCCTTGGCCTGGAGCTTCTTCGTGACGTAGCGGTCCAGGTGGGTGCGGAGGACGCTGACGTCGGCGCAGCAGGTGCGCGTGCCCATGCCGTTCTCGCCGGGCATGGTGTCGATGAAGTGGTACTCGCCGTCGACGCGGAGGATGCACGTCACGTGCTCGTTGAAGAAGAGGGCGCAGGCCGCGCGCTTGTCGCGCGCGATGGCCTCGAAGGCCTCGAGGAAATTGCCCATGTGCGTCTCGGACAGGGCGCTGCCGCCCATGACGCCGACGAACATGTCGCGGTTGATCATGCCCGCATGGTAGAGGTAGTTGTGGGCGTCGGCGGGGATGACGAACGCGCCGGCGCCGAGGCGGTGCTTCGCGCGGACGCCGGCGAGGATCGGCAGCACATCGGCGTCGACGACGCGCGCGACCTCGGCGTTGGACGCGCCGTGCGGCGCCGTGGACATGATGTGCTTGTAGCAGATGATTGGCGCGATGACCGCGCAGCCGTTCGTCGAGTCGAGGCCGCGGCCGTCGCGCGCGCGGCCCTGGTACGTGCCCAGGGACTCGACGCGCGCGATGAACTCGCCGCCGCCGCACTCCCGGCCGCCGCCGGGGGGCGCCGCGAACTTGACGTCGTCGGTCTTCGAGAGCTCGCAGACGTTCGAACCGAGCGCGTGCTCGCCGAGCGGCTTGGACACCTGGACGACGACGCCCTTGGCCCAGAGCACGTCGCCCTCGATGAACTCGCCGCCGCCGCACTCCCGGCCGCCGCCGGGGGGCGCCGCGAACTTGACGTCGTCGGTCTTCGAGAGCTCGCAGACGTTCGAACCGAGCGCGTGCTCGCCGAGCGGCTTGGACACCTGGACGACGACGCCCTTGGCCCAGAGCACGTCGCCCTCGATGAACTCGCCGCCGCCGCACTCCCGGCCGCCGCCGGGGGGCGCCGCGAACTTGACGTCGTCGGTCTTCGAGAGCTCGCAGACGTTCGAACCGAGCGCGTGCTCGCCGAGCGGCTTGGACACCTGGACGACGACGCCCTTGGCCCAGAGCACGTCGCCCTCGATGAACTCGCCGCCGCCGCTGTTGAGCTCGACGACACCGCTGCCTCCGTTTGACGACCCGGGACCACTCGGCGGCTGCCACGGTGCGTCACCGCGCCGAAAAGTAAAGTCGACCTTGTCCTCTGAGCCACCGCACAGGGAGAGCATGCTGTACAGCGTCGACGCCTCCTGGACGTCGTAGTCCGACAGCTTGCGGCCGTCCTGGAGCGGCTTGCCCGAGAAGCCAAGGCGCTGGTCCGGCGGGATGCCCGTCTCGTCGTGGATCTTCCGCTTCACGTTGTCGATCGTGTCCCAGGGCTCGACGTCGAGCGTGATCAACTCGCCCATGAGGGGCCTGAAGAAGATCTGCAATCGCGCACGCCGCCGCATGGGTGGTTGCTGGAGATTGCGCTTCTTGAGCAGGTAACACAAGCCGCCGACGAGGACGACCGCGCAGATCATGGTGATCATCGGCGTCTGGTTCATGGGCGGCGGCAGGTCGGAGATGTAGAGCGCGTCGGCAGTCGTGTTGCCGATGTAGGACGGGTAGCCGCCCGAGCACACGGTGATGATCTCGAGCGCGCCCGCGGATTCGGGCACCTTGAGCGTGAGGCTCCGGCACGCGTCGTCGACGTCGAGCGTCGTCAGGATGTCGCCGGGCGCGATGGCGAAGATCTCCGGCGCCGCGTAGCTCAACACGCCGCCGGGCTCGGACGCTTGGTCCGCGACGACCACCGTGAAGGAGAGCTCCTCGCCGATGCCCGGCGACGTCAGGCACTCGAGCGCGCCGTCGCCGAGGAGCGTGCAGTTGCGCGCGGCGTACTCCGCGCCGCTCGGCCCGTAACTGACGCCCTCGACCTTGTCCTGCTCCGCGCCAAAGTTCGCACCCAGAATCAGCACGACCTCGCCGCCGCCGACGGCCGCGACGGCCGCGACGCTCTCGTTGCCGACGATCACGATCGCGTCCACGGACGGCGGCTGCGTCTTCGTCGACGGCGTCGTCGAGTGCTGGCCGTCGATGATGACCTTCCACTGGTGGTTCATGCCCACGGCCGCCGTCGTGTTGCACTCCAGCGCCTCGTGGTCCAACGCGACGACGCAGCCGCAGCCCGGCGCGCCGTAGGCGCCGTCGACGTCGCAGGTCTGGTACTCGTAGCCGCTGGGCCCGAACGTGACCGCGTCGATCTTGGAGTCGTCGGCGCCGAAGTTGCCGCCGTGCACGACGATCTTCTCGCCGCCCGCCGTGAGGAAGCCGTCGCGGTCCGGGTCGCTCGAGTAGAAGTTCTCGTAGAAGGTGATGTACGGCGTGCCGTAGCCGACGCCCGCGTCGAAGACGACGGACTCCTGGCCCCAGAGCGTGAACTTGAGCGCGTGGCCGGAGCCCGTGCCCGGGCCCGTCGTGCAGGCCGCGCGCTCGTGCTTCACCGTGACGGAGCAGGTGCCCGAGTAGAGGTCCGCGTCGGGCAAAGGGCCGTAGGTGAACGACGACTCCATCCACGTCAAGCCAAAGTTGTCGCCGTGGACGTAGATCGTCGCGCCGCCCGCCGTCGACGAAATCGTGAGCGCGCCGCTCACGCCCGTGACCGTCGGCGGGGCGTATTTCGTGAGCACGGTAGAAGCGTCGCTCGTCAGGCCCGCGCGCGTCGCGCGCCAGTGATAGTCGACGCCGCCGCGCTCCGGGAGGACGCACGTGATCTCCGTGTGGTCCACGGTGATGGCGCAGTCCTCGAGGTCGACCCATCCGTCGCCGTCGCCCTGGTTCGCGTGCATGTCGACGGACACGGACGCGAGGTCGTCGGCGGCGCCGAAGTTCGCGCCCGCGACGACCATGGTCGTGCCGCCGATCGTGGGTAGCATGGTGATGGCCGTGCCGTCGGCCGTCGCGATGCCCGAGATGCTCGGCGCCGCGTAGGACACGGTGGCGTCGTGCAAGTCCTCCGTTCGGTACGTGTACGCCGCGTTCGCGCCCGGCGACCCGACGAGCACGACCCAGTAGCCCGCGGTGCCGTAGCCCGCGCCCGTCACGCACGTGAGCTCGCCCCCGTCCGACGACGACACGTCGACGGACGCGCAGGCCCAGGACGAGCCCAGGTCGTCGGCGTCCGCGGCGTAGAACACGCGGACCGTGTCCGCGAGCCACGCCCCGCAGAGCGCGTCGTCGGCCGGCGCGCTCGCGCAGGTCGCGGACGTTTCGACGCACGCGCCGCCGCAGGGCTTCTCTCCTTCTCCGCAGTAGCTGTCGCACCGCGGGCCGAACTCGGAGCCGCCGAGCGCGACGGCCTCGCCGCCGGCCGTCGCGAGGTCCGCGGTCGTCGTCACGGAGGCCAGCGTCGGCGCCGCGTAGGACGTCGTCACGGAGGCCAGCGTCGGCGCCGCGTAGGACGTCGTGAACGCGCCCGTCGCCGTCCACGTCGTCGCGCCGGGCGCCGCGATGGTCACGGTCCAGGAGTGGAGCGCGCCGACGCCCTCGTCCGTGGAGCACGTGATCTCCGTGCCCGGCGTCGTCACGAAGCAGCCGTAGGCGTAGTAGGTCGCGCCGTCGGCGCCGTTGCCGTAGGTCATGGTCACGTCGACGCCCGCGGCGTCGCCGTAGGGCCCGAGGTTCGCGCCCGTGATGACGACGGCCTCGCCGCCGATCACCGAGAGCGTCGACGGCGACGCGGCCGTCATGGCGATGTCGTTGACGTCGTTGACGGTCACGAGCACCGTCACGGTCGCGGAGTACTGCTCCGTCGTGTACGCCTCCGTCGCCTCGATGGTCAGCGTGTAGCTCGTCGCCGTCTCGAAATCCAGACCGGCGTCGGCGACGACGTAGAGGATGTTGTTCGCGGCGCTGAAGAGGCCCGCGTCGTCGCCGGCCGTGATCACGTAGTCCAGGTAGTCGTTCTCGATGTCCGACGCGCCCAGCTCGCCGATGATGGCGAAGCCGCCGTTCTCGTCGACGGCGCCCAAGTCCAGCGTCGCGTCGCCGACGGCGAACGTGGGCTCGTGGTTCTCGTTCGTGTAGAGCTCGCAGTCCGTGCACTCGTGGCAGCCGCCGCTGGCGCACCAGAGGCCTTCGCCGCAGCCCAGGCAGTCGTCCTCGGAGTCGTGCGCGGACGCCGCGGTGCCCTCGTCCGCGAGGGACGTCTGCGCCGGGCAGTGCGTGCACGTCGCCGCGGCGCCGAGGCTGTAGGTGCCCGCGTAGCACACGTTGCAGTCGCTGTTGCCCACGCCGCTCGCGAAGGTGCCCGCGCCGCAGTCGTCGCACGCCGTCGACCCGGCGTCCTCGCTGAACTTGCCCGCGTCGCAGCTCAGGCAGTCGGCGCTCTCGTCGTGGTTCGACGCGTCGGTGCCGGCGTCGTCGTTGTACTTGCCCGCCGCGCAGGGCAGGCAGGCGCCCTGCTGGGCCTCGACGACGTAGGACCCCGCGGCGCAGACCTCGCACGCGCTGTTGCCCTCGCCCGCCGCGAACGTGCCCGCGTCGCAGGCCGCGCACGACGACGCGCCGGCGCCGCTGTAGGTGCCCTCGGGGCACGACGAGCAATCGTTGGCGTTGTCGGGAGCAGCTCT